AGCAAATTATTAATCTTCAGAAGACAGGTTAAATTAAGCTTATCTGAACATGTAAGTCTTGTTAATGTTTATTTAATATGTTTGAAGCAGGTTTACAACACCGACTAGAATACCTCTCTAGGACCAGGCAGGTTTACCACACTGACTAGAATACCTCTCTAGGACCAGGCAGGTTTACCACACTGACTAGAATATTCCCTCTCTAGGACCAGGCAGGTTTACCACACTGACTAGAATACCTCTCTAGAACCAGGCAGGTTTACCACACTGACTAGAATATTCCCTCTCTAGGACCAGGCAGGTTTACCACACTGACTAGAATATTCCCTCTCTAGGACCAGGCAGGTTTACAACACCGACTAGAATATTCCCTCTCTAGCACCAGGCAAGTTTACCACACTGGCTACTAGATCCCTCTCTAGGACCAGCAGGTTTTACCACACTGGCTACTAGATCCCTCTCTAGGACCAGCAGGTTTACAACACCGACTAGAATATTCCCTCTCTAGGACCAGGCAGGTTTACCACACTGGCTACTAGATCCCTCTCTAGCACCAGGCAGGTTTACCACACTGGCTACTAGATCCCTCTCTAGGACCAGGCAGGTTTACCACACTGGCTACTAGATCCCTCTCTAGGACCAGGCAGTTTTACCACACTGGCTACTAGATCCCTCTCTAGGACCAGGCAGGTTTAACCACACGGCTACTAGATCCCTCTCTAGGACCAGGCAGGTTTACCACACTGACTACAAGATTTCCCTCTCTAGAACCAGGCAGGTTTACCACACTGGCTACTAGATCCCTCTCTAGCACAGGCAGGTTTAACACGGGCTTTAATCCCTCTTAGCACCAGGAGGTTTACCCACTGGCTACTAGATCCCTCTCTAAAAAGGGCGGTTTACCACACGGGCTACTAGATCCCTCTCTGGACCGGGCAGCTTTATCCCCACTGGCTACTAGATCCCTCTCTGGGGCCCAGGCGGGTTTACACACGGGCTATAATCCCTCTCTGGACCAGGCGGGTTTACCCACACGGGCTACTAGATCCCTCTTGGGCCCAGGAAACTTTACCTGGCTACTAGATCCCTCTCAGGACCAGGGGGTTTTACCACACTGGTCAAACCCTCTCTAGGCCCAGGCAGGTTTCCACACTGGCTATAATCCCTCTCTAGGACCGGGAGGTTTCCCACACGGCTACTATTTTTCCCTCTCTAGGACCAGGCAGGTTTACCACACTGGTACTAGATCCCTCTCTGGGGACCGAGGTTTACCACACGGCTACTAATCCCTCTCTAGGACCAGGAGGTTTACCCACGGGTACTAGATCCCTCTCTGGCCCAGGGGTTTACCCACGGGCACTAGCCCCTCTCTAGGCCCGGGCAGGTTTACCACACGGGCTACTGATCCCTCTCTAGGACCAGGGGGTTTACCCCCGGGCTACTAGTTTCCCTCTCTAGAACCAGGCGGGTTTCCACACTGACTATGATCCCTCTCAGGACCGGCAGGTTTCCCACACGGCTACAAGATTCCCTCTCTGGGGACCAGGCAGGTTTCCCACCTGGCTAAAATCCCTCTCTAGGACCGGGCAGGTTTACCACATGGCTTAGATCCCCTTAAACCAGGCAGGTTTTCCACACTCTACTAGATCCCTCTCTAGGACCAGGCAGGTTTTTACCACACTGGCTACTAGATCCCCCTAGGACCAGGCAGCTTTTCACCGGGCTATAGATCCCTCTTAGGCCCGGGCAGCTTTTCACACTGGCTATAGATCCCTCTCTGGGACCGGCGGTTTACCCACGGTCTAGATCCCTCTCTGGGGACCAGGGGGTTTTACCCACTGGCTACTAGATTCCCTCTCTAGGCCCAGGCGGGTTTTACCCATGGCTACTAGCCCCTTCTAGGACCAGGCGCTTTAAACATGGTACTAACCCCTCCTGGGCCCCAGGCAGGTTTACCACAGACTATAGCCCCTCTCTAGGACCAGGCGGGTTTTTACCAACTGGCTACTGATCCCTCTCTAGGAAGGGGGGTTTTACCCCACGGGCTACTGATCCCTCTCTAAAACCCCGGCGGGTTTACCACACGGCTACTAGATCCCTCTCTAGGACCAGGCGGTTTTAACCCACATTGGCTACTAGATCCCTCTTAGGACCGGGCCCGGTTTTCCCACACGGGGTACTAGATCCTCTCTAAACCGGGCGGGTTTACACACGACTACTGATCCCCTCTAGGCCCCCGGCGGTTTACCACACGGGGTACTAGACCCTTTCCTAGGACCGGGGCAGGTTTACCACACTGGTACTAGACCCCTCTCTGGGACCGGGGCAGGTTTACCACCTGATACTAGATCCCTCTCTAGGCCCGGGGGTTTTTACCACACTGGCTACTAGTCCCCTCTAAAAACCAGGGGGGTTTACCACACTGACTATAATCCCTCTCTGGCCGGGCGGGTTTACCCACTGGCTACAACCCCTCTCTAAAAACGGGGAGCTTTACCACACTGGCACTAGACCCCTTTCTAGGCCCGGCAGTTTACCAACTGGTACAGATCCCTCTCTGGGACCGGCGGGTTTCCCCAACTGGTACAGTCCCTCCTGGACCGGGAAAGGGGTTTACCACACGGCTACTAGA